TGAGGTCTGCATGTCAGGTTCCTCCTTCTTAAGTTTTAAAACACATGTGGTATCAAAGACCAAAGAAGATGGCTCAAGATCACAATATTATTCACACAGAAAAGCAAACAAGTCCATGTGATTTTTAACATTTATTTGAATCATGAGTATTACGACATTTAAAGATGCATAAAAGCGTTTTTTTAGGTCAACCGAGGCTACTTTTATTTATTTATTTATTTGGGACAGAGTTTCACTCTATTTCACAGGCTAGAGTGCCACGGCATCAGCATAGCTTACAGCAACCACAGCTCGTCCTCCCGCCTGGCTGGGATCAAGTGATCCTCCTGCCTCAGTCTCCTGAGTAGCTGGGAATGCAGGCGCCTGCCACATCTGGCTGATTTTTCTATTTTTAGTGGAGATGGGGTGTCTCTCTTGCTCAGGCTGGTCTTGAACTCCTGAGTTCAAGGTTCCTTCCTGCCTCCACCGCCCAGAGTGCTTGGATTTACAGGTGTGAGCCACGTGCCTGGCCCAACCTAGGCTACTTTTGTGAATTCACTCTATTCATTGTTTAAGGATTTACAAAAGAAATATCATGTAATTTGTTTTAGAAATGTAAAATATATAAACAATAGCTCTTAGGAAACATTTCTGAATGGTGAAGAATCACAGCCACCAGCCCAATGTGGTGGCTCATGCTTGCTTGTAATCTTAGTGCTGAGAATCACTTGAAGCTGGGAGTTCAAGACTAGCCTGAGCAAAAGTGAGACCCCTGTATCTACAAAAAATAGAGAAATGAGTCAGGTGAAGGAGTGTGTACCTGTAGACCCAGCTATTTGGGAAACTGAGGCAGGAGAATCGCTTGAGCCCAGGAGTTTGCGGTTGCTCTCTAGTCCTGATGACAGAGCAAGGCCTCGTCTCAAAAAAACAAAAAACAAAAAACAGACAAACAAACAAAAAAACAATAAGTAAATAAGTAAAATAAAAATAAATAAATAAAAGAAAAGATTCAGAGTCACAATCACTGAACGTTTCTTGCTACACTGTAACAGGTTCTTTGCAGGGCTGGGTGGGATGCATGACAGGAAAGATCCCCAGCACTTGGTATATTTGCATGATGACCTTGAGGCTTAGAGAGCAATTGAACTGACATGCTATTTGCATATTAAACCATATCTACAAATAAAGGCATGTAATTGAGACTTTAAGATAAAATGTACTAGCTACTGAGACAGGCTCTTGGCTGTTAAGAGAGACTGGGACTTATGGGATCTTTCTATGAAAAGAAAAAGAAAATGAGAGAGTGGTTCAAGGTATCGGGGAATTACCCAAAACAGAAAAAGGAAAGACGTTGCCTGCCAGAAAGTCACAGCCAAGTTATCCCATGGGAATTTCCCAAGGCAGTGGTTACAGCTGATCCTGAGCCAAACACCCAGGGGACTCCTGGTGGGGCGCAGAGATAACAGTCCTGTGAAGGGACTTCTGTTCTCTGCTGATGTTACGAGTATTCAGGATGTGAGGAGGAGTGCCTACGAAAAGATGAAGACTCTATCTTGGTCACACTGAAACCAGCACAGGCTCTGAGGCACCTTGAGAAGACTGTGGCCTGAATCCTAAAGCAGCACGTTTCCGAGAGCCCGAGTACAGAAGAGGAGAGAGCGAGCTTATGGGCCAGTGGTTAAGATGTTGTATTCTGGAGTGTGACTTCCCTGGATTTGAACTGTGGCTTTTGCTTCTGCTGCCTATGGCCTTTGACAAATTGTTTAAATTCCCCGGGGTCCCAATTCACTCTTCTAATAATATAGATAAAAATATAACTACCTTCTAGAGTTTTTGTCACTGTTAAGTATGTCACTGTATGGAAAGCACTTAGAAGAGGGCTGGACATATATGAAGCACTGTACTAAATGCCCTTTATATACTTAATATTGAATGCTTCAATTACATTTTCTATTTCATAAGACTTGTTTCACATTCAGATATTCGTAGAGGTGAAGAAGCAGGTATATGTCCCTTGAATTGCTTGGGAGAGATTAATGTAACCAATCAATATATTGATGAAGGTGATATATAGGACGGAGTATAATTTTGTAATAAATTAGGGATAGTGTAAAGAATGACATGTCCTGTAGGATTTCAGAAGAAAAGATTGGTGAGTACTGGAATAATCAGAGAAGTTGTCCCTAGTATCAAGGCATGAGTGGGATGGAAAGATCAGACTTCCCATCTGTTCTGGAAATTTCATGATTCCATGGGAGCATTTCTGAGGAGGCTAAGAGAGGGAGTTAAACAGACGTAGAAGGAATAGATGTACATGGAGAGAACGAGCTACCCAGGGATAGTGGGGTGGATAAAGCTTGGCAAACACAATCAGATTATAAGGTGGCCCATCAAGGGAAATTATTGAACAGAGAATGGATATTTTCTAGTTTACATAACTCTATGCCTTTTAAGTCTGCGAGTTCTTTATCACGAAAGTTGTGGAAAGAAGTTTACTTAACAAAATGTACCACGTAGTATCTTCAAGTGGGAAGACTGGTCTGGCAGAGAGATGCAGGCAGCGTAACAGAGATCTCGCTCACTTCAAAGAGGGCCTGGCTTCCGATCTACTCCCCACACAAGTTTGTGCCCTACAGAAAGGGGATGAGGCACTCTAGGCAAGATCATCCATATCCAAAATCCTGCCTTTCACCAACCTGGGTGTGTCAGAGGCAGCAGAGGGACCGGAAGGGATGGGATTCTGGCAGGCAAATAAAAAGCCTATTCACACGTTTCCTTTGGCCAGGGCCTGAGAGAACTTTTCTCATCCAAGTCCACATATACCTTTTTTCTTAAGTGTTAGGAAAGACCATTAGTGAGATGCACCACTGTCATTGCTCTGCCCAAACAATGCTGCATCTCAAACACAGGCCCCTTCCTGTACCTTCCGAACCCTCTCTCTGTTTCTCTTCCGCCTCCCTGCCCAGCCCTGCCGAAACATCAATCATTGTGTTTGCCAGTCTGCAGCCTATTTCAAAGGAAGGAGGCCCCCTGAATGCTTTTCCTGCAGGGATAACCCAGGGGGCCCATTTTTGGTACCATGTGAACCCACCCTCCTTGCACGGTGTTAATTGGACCAGAGGTAAACAGAGTAAAAGGAATACATTCCTACCGATGGGGTCCCTGGAACTGCTTTGAATTCTGAAGAAGCTTCCAGGCTCTGTGATAAATGTTCTGCTATTCCTGATACCAGGTTATTCATCTTTCCCCGGTTTTCTCATACAAAACTCCCATGCCCATTAGGTGAGATAACTTGAGAGTTCTTGATCCTTGAAATAAAAGGTCTAAAACCTACCCAACTCTTCAAACTAGTGTCTTTGGCCACAGTCGCTGTCAACCAGCATTTGTGATTTTGTTAGTGGATATAAACAGATGCCTCTTTCAGAGGTAACTGTACTATTAAAAGGCATTCTTTACACTCTCCTAATGAATCTCTAATGGTAGAATTTCAAAAACTAAACAGAGGAAAGTATTTTGTTTTTTGTCAGGGGTTCTGCCTGGTGTTCTGTAATCATATCATACAATTTTGATTACTGAATGCTGGAAAATCCCTGGAACAGACCCAGGAGAACTGGGTCCCAGTCCTAGCTCTGTTTCTTGTTATTTCTGCTAATTATAGGCAACTCCCTTAATTCTCTGGATCTCAATTTTCTCATTTGAATGTTTGTTGTCAGAATAAGTAAAAACCATAAGGGCTCTTCCAGTTCTAATATTCTGTGATTCTGTCATATTGCTTCTGTTCAAGTACAAGGGCAACCTATCCACTGAAGTTCATAAAACAGAAATCTCTGAAAGAGAAATCTTCCAAGTATACAAAAGATCCCCATGAAGCCTCCCTGTACCCTTGGAATAGGGGTGATTCCTTACAGTACATACTGGTAGAGAGAAAACGTGAAACCTGAGAGAAGTTTTATTATAATTATTATTTCTTCCAAAAGCATACATTCTACTAAAGAGAATTTAATCTGTGTTTATGAAATTTCAGTCAAAAATATTAAAACAATTAAAAATTAGATTCAAATTAGGATCACTTTAAGAGGTTAAGAACCACTATTAAGAGGTTAAGAGTTTCATATTCTGGGCAAAGGGCACACTTATAACTTTGACTTAACATGTACAAATGCAAATTATGTAACCAAACTGTGTACAACCCTGTAATATTCTGAAAAGAGTCCAGGCCCAGAGTTTAAAATATTCAGTCTTCTACTATTAAGTGTGCTGTTAGCTATAGCTTTGGGGGAAATTTCCTTTATCCATTATCGAATTTTTCTTTTGTTCCTTGTACTTAAATACAGTATGATTAGATACTAAAATTTATGTTATTTTTTCTAAAAAAGAGGTTATGGGAAAGAAAAATGCTTTTTTTTTTCTATTTAAACTGTTTGCTGGGGTAATCATTGTAGTCAACATTAATCGAGCACGTAGAATGTGCCTGGAGTTATGCTATCTATTCAAAAAAGAAAATTCAGAAGGATATTGTAAAATGCATTGCCCTGTTGACCATGATTGGGGATCTAATTGATATTCATCAGACTTTTACCCTGGTATACAATGTTCTCCTAAGTCTGTTTAATGAAGAATAGATTACAAGTGGAAGACAGCCACAGTCTTTGATCAACTATTCCAGTATTTGTATTGTCTTACAGATGGAAGTGGTAATTCCATATCTCGCCATAAATCTCTTTTTCTAAATTGTTTTTCTGGACATAGTTCAAGTAGAACAACCAATTTATTTATGGTCAGCTCATGCTCTTTCCAATGGCCTCTCACTGGGCAATCTGTTAGATAGCAAACAATTCTACACTACAGAAACCCTGAGTAAGGCCTTCTGCGGGACATTCACAATCTCCCTTTTTGCACTTTGGAAAAAGGAACAAGGCAGCTTTCTACCAATGACTACTCTACCTGAAACCCTCCTAGATACGGAACATGTGTCTGCGCCTGTACCTACGTGCATGCTCACACTTCACAGCCGCTCTTACCTGGTAAAATGACTTGTTGCTTCCAGGTCGGTGTCTTGCGGACGAAGAGTGTTATACACATATTTCAGGTCTTGGATTCCACTTAGCTCAGGCAGTCCTGCATGTAGCATCTTAACAAAACAAAGCCCCCAAAAGAAAACAGAATAAATACAGATTAAATCAAGCGTCCTTGGTTAATTCTACCACGAGACATCCACACCTAAGCTGGCAAAGCATTGGCTTTCAGTTTGTATATATGAATGGACACAGAGATAGGCTTTTAAACCTCTCCTATTTGGTAGTAAAAGCAACAACAACAGTGAGAGTAAAACCATCATAGTTTGCAAAGTACGTATACATTAATAACTCAATTTTATTCTCATCATAAACCGGTAGGCATGATAAATTTATTATCCCCATGTCAGAATTTCTAGATCCTCCATAGGGAGTCTGAATGATCTTTGAACCTCCATTTTCTCATTTCTAAAATGGGTATAAATAAAGCCAGCGTGCTCTGAAAGAATCAGATAGGTAATGAAAGAGAAAGAGCATTATGCTTACAAAATCTTACACAAAACATATTATAATATTTGTTTTAAAGAAGAAAAGCCTGATCTCAAGAAAACTGTAAATTACATGTCCAGGTCAAATGATGTATAAGCACAGAGTGTAAAACTCATCCCTCTGCCTAATCCTATGTTCTTTTTTTTTTTTTTTTTTTT